GAGCAAGTCAGCTGGAGATTTCATTGTGCTCCTTATAATGGTGCACAATTTAAAACTTATAAATTGTTTGTTTCTGGAATTTACCATTTAATATTTTTGGATCACAGCTGATCATGGGTAACTGAAGCCACAAAAAGTGAAACCATGGGGAAGGGAGGACTACTCTAAGATGAAGGTATTGACAGGCTGCTGATAATATGTCCAGATGACATTGCTAGTATATTGGGTGACAAAGCAGAATCCATTAATTCAGTTTAACAGTTATTTACTGCTCACCTAGGATGAGCCAGCTAATATGCTAGATGATTGTGAGAATACAAACACAAATCAAGTATATCCCTGCCACAGAGAAGCTCAAAAGCAAATAGGAGAGAGAGAGACCTCGGAGAAGAACAAAGGCATCGAAGAACAGCTGGAGATTGTCCTTGACAAATTTGTTTCTGAGCATGTGAGAGACAGCCCGTGGGTGTGACTGTGTTTTGTTGTTTTGTTTTTAATGTGTGTGTGTGTGGAGGGCAGGAGAACATTAGAGTTTTAATGAGTTGAATCAAGTAAATTTTCTGTACCCCACAAGTACAGTGTGTGAGGCCTGGACAAAACTCAAATTGTATTAAAAATAATCAACCTTAGGCAGGATATACTAATATTTGATCAGCACTTTATGATTCCCAAAATGCTTCCTCAAATAGATAACTTACAAGTAAAAACATTATAACTTATCAAAAAGCCTTGATAACTTTCCTTTCAGAAAATGAAGATACAAGAATTCTATTCCTTCTTCACTTTTCTTCTCCATAGAAAATCAACCCTCATTAACCCAGCCCTGAAGTTTGTCAATATCAACAGTTTTGTGTTAAACTGTTTGCAATGAAGGTGGGGGAGGAATGTAGGGGAGAAAATATATGCTGTCTTTTTTTTCCTTTTAATATTCTGAAATGTACATGGTAGGCATCTTAGGTAAATGAGTCACATTTACATATGAAGATTCAGGATTATTAGTAAACTTGATGAAAGCTAAATTCCCTTTCTCAAGCGTAATTGCCATATAAGAGCTTTTCTCTTTCCCCTGTTCTCAATTCTTCATTATTATGCATGCAGCAGTTATGATACTGGAAAGCAGGAAGGCATAAAGTTTGTTAAAATGCACAGAACTGTACATATTGAAAAGCTTAGATTCATCTGTCTCCCAAATGCATGGGGGAAATAGGCTTGAAATTAAAAATAAAAAAGGAAAGTGCAGTAAATTGTTTCTCGCTCTGACATATATTCATCAGGATAGAGCTGCATGACAAGTTCAATGAAATAAAATTAGTTTTTATAACTCAATGGGAGATCTATAAGAGCACCTGAACACAGAATTTGCCTTGAATATTGGGAAAGACTTAGTCTCTCAGCCCCAAAGCTCTGAAGTGGGATCTATGAATATTAATAAAGAATACCCTCACCAAGGGGAAAATGGTTCTGTAATGTTTCCCCTCCCTACCACCTTTTTCCCCTCCAAAATGGTCCTTCTATTGCCTCCTGAAATATTCAAGGAAATGTCTAATGCTTTGAGTCCTTGGAATCATATTTGGTAACCTGATTTCATATAGAAGGCTTTAGAACTGGAGCTACCTCAGATGTCACTGATTACTTCAATGAACAGATATTTCTATGCTTGGGCTGGAGCGACCTGATCCCAGCCTAACAGGAATAGCTGCTAAAGATTTTGTCTTAAGCAAATGCCAGTTATTGATAGGTGTCAAGGATGGGTACATGAACAGCAGGAGCTGGTTCAGGAAAGGGGTCAACAGTGAAGAGAAGGAACTAAGCACTGATGGAGTGTCTGCATGGGGTCTGATGCTTTGTTGCATTATCTTATTCAGTTCTTACAACAACTCTTTGAGGTAATAACCTAATACACAGTCAATGTCTATAGCAAACATAAGAGCTTCACTTATAGGCTACTATTAATATATTAGAAAATTCCTGACCTGGAAAATGGAGATAAGAACACCTACTCCCAGAGTTATTTTAAGTGTTACAGGAGAGTATATGTTTTTGTGGGCTCATCAAATGTTATTGGCCCTCTCTTTCAATTCCTTTCCCTCTAAATCATTCAAACACAATTTGCCACTAAGTGAAACATAACATAAGGAGCATTTATATTGGATTCCCAAGAGGGGAAAGTGGATAATTTCTAAAGTAATGAAAAGGTATCTTTTTAAGGGACATTACCTAGGAGACAATACCATTGCCTGACACCCATGGATAGCATTATAGAGAAGCTTTGCTGAATTTAAAAAAAAAGACATTTTGTGTATCTACCATTCTATAATCTCTGAAAAGTATACATGAAATTACAGGTCAGTTTAATTGCAGAAAACTTTTATGAAAGTCTTCTCAAAGAAAAAAAAAAAGAAAGTCTTCTCCATATTCTTCTTCTAATATATCTAAAACTTATAGTTTTGAAAAAGACATGAGAAGGAAAACAGCAATATTCGATAAAACACCAAAAAGAATCATTGAGGTTACCATAAAATATTTAATAATAAACCTATTTTGAACTTATTAATATGCATGTTTTCATCTCCCCCTTCCTCCCCCCTGCCACACCCCCCACACACACACCTCTCTATTTCTCATTTCTACCAAATTTTAAAGATAGTACAGGATTTGGAACAATGTTGTCAAAAATCTTCAGTAGATGGTGATAGAGGAAGACATTACCAAATTGGTTTAGGATTTTTTCCCACCAGCTAAAAAAGATGTTGGTATTGCTGTTCCTTCACAGGTTTGGCTACTTTCCTAGCAGTCTTTAGAGACGGTGAGTACTTACCAGTATTTTTTTTCTTCTCTTTGAGCAAATCTATTAAAGAATATCCCAAAAAAGAAGTCACTCTCAAAATAATCCTCTTACAAGAAAACAAAACATCCACAGGATCCTATTACCCAAACAACTATTTTCCAAATTTCTGCAAAATTCCAAAGACATGCCTGAGGAGTGTTTTAGTCCTCATTCCAAGAGCCAACCATAAGCACTTCTTGCAATAAATATCCACAACAGAAATAATCTAAATAATAATTTGGTCCCCCAAAAACTTCTTTGTCCTGATTTCTAAAATCTTTTACACATTCAGTTTCAAAAAATGAACCATAATTAGGCATAATTATGTTTTATAATGATGTCCTCCAGGAGAGTCTAGAAAACAGCTTTGACATAGCTCTGTGACCTTATATAAATGATTGTTCCTCTCTCGGTCTGTTCTGCAACTATAGTGATAGATGTGTCATCAGACCAATGGTTCTCAGCAGGGAGCCCTTCTCATCCCACCCCCATCTTCCCTACCCTCCCACATTTGGCAATGTCCGGAGACATTTTTGGTTGTAACAACTCGGGGCTGCTACTGACATCGAGTGGGTAGAGACCAGGGATACTACCAAATATCCTGCAATGCACATGACAGCCCCCATGATCAAGAATTACCTGGCACAAAATACCATAGAGCCTAGGCAAAAAGGTCTATGTTAGAAGATTCGTAAAGATGCTTTCAACATTGAATTTTACAAAGTTAATAGGATATGATATGATATGATATGATATGATATGATATGATTATATATATAGTAGAGGCCTGGTGCACGAATTCATGCATGGGTGGGGTCCCTCTAGATGGCCTGCAGGGATCAGGCTGAAACCTGCAGTCCAACACCACCTGTAGCTCCTACCTGCCGCTCCCGCTCATCCCAGCCCCACTGTGCCTGCTGCGGGCTCACACCAAATCAGTCCCGATTGGGAGAGGTTCGCGCTGCTGTAGCAGCACCCGCCAGCCATGAGCCCTGCCTCTGGCGCCCTCCCAAGGGGAGTGGCCTGCGGGATCAGGCTGAAAATGGCTCTCTGACATCCCCCAAGGGATTCCAGATTGCGAGAGGGTGCAGGCCAGGCTGAAGGACCCCACCTGAGGAAAGGACCACTGGAGGGCTCCAGGGCGTGTCCAGCCCATCTCACTCAGTTCCAATCAGCTGGCCCCCCAGCAGCAAGCTAACCTACCAGTCGGAGCATCTGCCCCCTGGTGGTCAGTGCATGTCATAGTGAGCAGTTGAGCAGCTTTAGAATACCATTAGCATATTATGCTTTGATTGTTTGTTTGGTTGTTCTACATTTTGATCTATTTGCATATTACCCTTTTATTATATAGGATATACTAGAGGCCTGGTGCACGAATTTGTGCATGGGGTGGGGGTGGGGCTGGCAAGGGGGGAGGGGCCACGGGAGGTTGGCTATGGGAGCACACTGATCACCAGGGGGCAGCTCCTATGTTGAGCATCTGCCCCCTGATGGTCAGTGCATGTCATAGTGGCTGGTCGTTTGGTCGTTCAGGCATTACGGTTGCTCAGGTTTTAATTTAAAATTTAATACAAATTTTAGAATTTGTATTAAATTTGTATTAAAACTAAACTTCCAGCTTAAATACATCTAAAAGTTATCTTTAAGTTCTAAACAATGAGAAGGAAATCCAAGACCTCAACAGCTAGCCAATTAAGCAACATGTATTAAGTGTCTACAATAGACATATAGCACTTGCAGGAAAAGATCTTAAGATGTAGTTCCAAAGGAAATATAAAGTCAGCCCCCATGGACTCCACCCAGAATAAACAGGCTGGAAAACAACTGGAAGACCTGCATGGTCTAACAACAACCTTTTACTTCATCCAAATCCTGACAGAAGCCTAAATACTTTGCTCAACCTGAAGCAAGACAGTTGTGAAGAACTAGTTCTTCCAGCAGAGAAGTTTATAAGGATTTTCAAAAATATATTCTTTAAAGGAATTGAGGGAGAGCAAGTGTTCAGCAGAGGTGGTCATGGCGGTAGCAGCCAAGGCTTAGAATGTGCCCAACTCTCCCATTAAAAAAGCCAGAGCACCTACATAGTAAAATTAAAAACTCATGGACTACGCTTACAACAAAATGAGGTGACATGAATCCAACATTCAAGTAAACGGGACAAACCACCAACAGCCACAAGATGCACATGTTACCAATTTCAGTGCAGGAAGAAGCAGAGGAAAACAATAGAGGCCTGTGGGCTGAGAAGAGAAGAACCTGAAACAGCCAGCAAGTATTACTGAAAATCATGGCAGGTCAACTTAAGAGTAGTGACTGGGGTGGTTTTGCCCAGTCGAATAGTACATTTGTACAAGGGGCCCAAGAAACAACCTACAAGAACTGGAGTTGTCTAGCCACTGCACACACAGGAACCTGACCAGATAAGGATTCCTGCAAACAGGGTCTCATACTGGGAACTACTGAGAATATAATCAAAATTAAGCAGAATTCAGAGCAATAGATACAAAAAAAAGATGATCTAGATAAAAATGGATATAGGGAAAAATATGAAAAAAATCTCAGAACTCAAGCCAGCATGCTTTTTAATACTATATGAAATGAAGCAAACAATAAAACAAAAAGAGAATGGAAAGTTATGTAAGCTGAAAAGTATTAAAGTCTATATTCTAGATAGTTACTATAACAAATGGTATGGTGAAGGCCTGGAGGTGGGGTGGGGCAAAGGGGTTCAATGGGGGGAAAAAGGGATATCTGTAATACTTTCAACAATAAAGATAAATTTTAAAAACAAAATAAACCTGCACAGCAACTGAACAGAAAACAAAAAAATAATAAGACCCGGCTATTTGGGGTCTTTGTTTGGTCCCATATGAATTTTTGGAGTGTTTGTTCTAGATCTGTGAAATATTCCATTGGTATTTTAATAAGGATTGCATTGAATGGAACTGCCATTTGACCCAGTGATCCCATTTCTATGAATATATCCTAAGAAACCCGAAACACCAATCAGAAAGAATATACACATTCCTATATGCTATGTTCATAGCAGCACAATTTACAATAGCTAAGATCTGGAAACAGCTCAAGTGCCCATCAGTAGATGAGTGGGTAAAAAAGCTGTAGCACATTTACATCATGGAATACTATGGATCTCTTACCCTTTGAGACAGCATGGAGGGACCTGGAGAGTATTATGCTAAGTGAAATAAGCCGGTCAGAGAAAGACACGTATCACATGATCTCACTCATATGTAGAATCTAATGAACAAAATAAACTGATGAACAAAATAGATCCAGAAACATAGAAGCATGGAACAGACTGACGAATCTCAGAGGGAAGGCAGGGGTGGGGTGAGGAGAGATTAACTGGGGAACCTATAGCATATATGCATAGCCCATGGACATAGACAATAGTGTGGTGGAGGACTGGGGCGGGGATGGGGTGGAGGGGGTCAATGGGGGAAGGAAGGGGGACATCTATAATACTTTCAGCAATAAACATCAATTTTAAAAATTGTATGATTCTGTTTTAACATTAATTAGGAGGGCCTCTGATGAAATAAATGTCTCCTAGGGTTTACAAATAAATATGAAGAAAAGATCTCATCATACTCCTGCCTCACCTGAGAAACTGGGAAGTTTTCTCCTCATGGACAGTGTAACTGATAATGCATCCCTCTGGGTCTTATTATTGCACAGTAACAAGTTTATTCTTTTTCATGTGTGCGTGTCTAATTTGTGCCATTGTGGCTTTCTTCTTGGCTTCATGGGCATAACTATTCACTGAGGATAAAGAACAAAGGATTAGAAAGGAGGCAAAGGGTGAAACCTAAGCCTGGACTAAATGCATAGATACAGCGTGAATCTTCATGCTATGAAACAAAAATGTTGAAGAGGAAAATGCAAAGAATGGGAGATAGAAGCTGGTTTACATTTATATGCATTTCCTGTACCAGTCGCCCAGCCTTAGCTTCTCCCCACCTACTTATCCAAATGCAGTGGTGCATAAATGTTCTTCCTTGAAAAATATTACCAATTTTATGTAACTAGTTTGGTTCAAAGGATGTGTAGAAGCAATATTATATTTAGAAGGAACCATACTACTTAGACAAGAAAAACATGCCATTTTGATTTGGATAAAGACTAGATTTCCTTCAGTAAGAAATGATACTATTCCCTCTGCTACTCTGAAACTACATTTTAAAATTCTCCTTCTGCTGAGCTGTAGTATATCACATGAACCTTATAATCTATATAGCATTCTAATCATTTCCTTATTTTTCTGGCCTTTTCTTGATACTTGTTTAAAAATCTCCTTGCATGGGTCTCCTGAGCCTGGTGGAGTAATATTACGAAGCAAATGACCAGACATAATGACTTTGCAAGGTCCTTGTGCTTCCTTATTAACATTCAGTTAGCATAAGTCCTGACTTTATTATTGACTACATTGAATACACAAGACACTGACCTCTGCCATCTGCGACTACATCTCTTCCTGCAGATCTATCAGAATGGTTTCATATGTGGAGGAAGCAAGAGGAAACAAAGCCGCATCCACTTATCTTTGCTGTCCCTGGAAACTTTAACACACTCACATCTGCAATCCAAAAAAGGAAAGAAAGCCCCTTTTGCATTAATTACTGTAAAATCTGAAGTGACGGTTGGAGCATAATCAAGAAGAAAAATTCAAGATGGCAATCCAAGACTCATCTTCCTAAAATAAGGTAAGACCACTGACTGAATAAACAGAATCAGACACCCACCACAAAGAAAAATGACCAGGATATATAATTTGTAAGGTAAGACCACTGACTGAATAAACAGAATCAGATATACCCACCCACCACAAAGAAAAATGACCAGGATATATAATTTATTACTGAGCATTAAAAGCAACCAACAGAACCCAAGGAATGCTTTGATCACATGATGATATTATCCCTCAGGAATATCAGAAAATCTGCCAATTTAAGACTGTTTTACATTCCCACTTATTCCCACACACAATCATACTCATAGAAGGACTGGTGACATTTTTGAGTAAAGTGCAAGATAGCAAATTTATATACCCTGGTCTTGAAGGTTTTGGTGAGTCCCAGAAACAGAGGCAAGGAAACAAATGTGATATGATGCACTGAACTTTTTTCTGAAGACCTGGGCTTGAGCCTTGATTCTGCCATGAACTTTGTGATGAAAAGTGACACCAACTCCCTGAATCTCCATTCATTTATATGACAAATAAGAGGATTGTAGATGGTCTCATGCCAACATGAGCCACTTATGTAGAAATTTATCACCATTCCTTTCTTTCCTTGCCTCTACGAAATTGGGTTATGTCTTTCTGGCATATAGAAGCATATAGTCCCATATATCTCTGCTACCAGAGGTAAAATGATTTGGTCACCTGTCAATTTTCAGAGATTGAGAAAGAAAGAAAGAAAGAAAGAAAGAAAGAAAGAAAGAAAGAAAGAAAGAAAGAAAGAAAGAAAGAAAGAAAGCTGTGCCAATATATGCTGCTTTAAAAGTGAAAGTTTCCTCTTGGAATATTTAATTGCATTTTTAATGTAGGAAGTCAGATGGAAGGAAGGGCAAAAGCAGTTGAAGTGAATAGGAAGCCATGATGAACCAAACTGTAGTGTATACTAACACCATTTACCCATAATTCTCTGTCTTCAGGGTGATGGAGGCTTTTCTGGTTCTCTGGGGCACCTCCTTCTCCCAATGCCTTTGCCAATCTACTTGACAAGAGAACAAATACAACCTAGACTTGTTGTATCACAGTACCATCTATATCATAAAAGCCCAGCAACAGAAATGGCGGAACGACCAGAACAACCAGAGACCAGGGTGATGAGGCAGGTAGGCGAGTAGTTAGGGGCAATTAGGAAGGCAGGTGAGTAGTTAGGGGTGATCAGGCAGGCAGGCAGAGGCGGTTAGCGGTGATCAGGCAGGCAGGCGAGTGGTCAGGGCGATCAGGCAGGCAGGCAAACAGTTTGGAGCCAGCGGTCCCAGATTGCGAGAGGGATGTCCAGCTGCCAGTTTAGGCCCAATCCACAGCAGGCTCGGGCCTAAACCGGCAGCTGGACATCCCCCTAAAGGTCCCAGATTACGAGAGGGTGCAGGCCGGGCTGAGAGACCCCCACCCCCATACACGAATTTCGTGCACTGGACCTCTAGTCTATATAATAAAAGCCTAAGCGACCATTACAGTGGAACAACCAAAACAACTGGTCTCTTTGATACACACTGATCACCAGGGGGCAGATGCTCAATGCAGGAGCCAGAAGCCGGGCTCACAGCTAGTGAGCGCAGCGGCAGTGGTGGGAGCCTCTCCCACCTCCACGGTAGCACTAAGGAGCAGCAAGCCAAGTGACAAGGAGCAGTGAGCAGGTGGGAGGTAAGGAGCGAGGGGTCCCGGACATCCCCCAAGGGGTCCTGGACTGTAAGAGGCTCAAGCTGGGCTGAGGAACACACACACACCAGTGCATGAATTTCCTGCACCAGGCCTCTAGTCTACATATATAAAAGCCTAAGATCCCCCAAGGGGTCCTGGACTGTGAGAGGCTCAAGCTGGGCTGAGGAACACCCCCCACACACACACCAGTGCATGAATTTCCTGCCCCAGGCCTCTAGTCTACATATATAAAAGCCTAAGCAACCATTATGACCGAATGACCAGAATGGCTGGAATGACCAGTCGACCAGTCGCTATGATGCGCACTGACCACCAGGGGGCAGACGCTCAATGCAGGAGCTGCCCTCTGGTGGTCAGTGTGCTCCCACAGTCAATCTCCCATGGCCGTCCAACCTCCCCTAGTCCCTCCCCTGTGGCCAGCCAGCCAACCTCCCACAGTCCCTCCCACCTTCCCTCCCCCCAGCCGGCAGGCCCTGATCAACCCGGCCCTGATCAGGACTGGGTGAGGCAGCCCTGATCAGCCCTGATCGCCGGCCAGGCCTAGGGACCCCACCCATGCACAAATTTGTGCACCGAGCCTCTAGTGGGATTCATAAAGCTCCTTCCTTCAAAGACGTTATCTCCTTTAGCTATTAACCCAGCCCTTTGACTTCAATTAGGTATATCTGAATGTGTGCACTATTACTTTTTTACAGATAAGAAAATTAAGTTTGAGTGCGTTTAAAGATTCCTTACAAGTTTATATCACTAGGAAAACCCTCAGCTAGGATCCTAAACCAGGTATTCAAATTCTAAATTCCTAATGTTTTTTAATGCTTCAATTACAGTTGACATTCAATATTATATTAATTTTAAGTGTACCATATAATGGTTAGACATTTATATAACTTATGAAGTGGTCCCCCTGATAAGTCTAGTACCCACCTGACACCATACATAGTTATTACAATATTATTGACTATATTCCCTAAGCTGTACTTTATATATCCATGACTATTTTGTAACTGTCCATTTGTACTATATATATATATATATTATTGATTTCAGAGAGGAAGGGAAAGGGAGAGAGAGAGAGAGATAGAAACATCAGTGATGAGAGAGAACCATTGATCGGCTGCTTCCTACATGCCCTCCACTGGGGATTGAGCCTGCAACCCAGGAATGTGCCCTTGAGAGGAACTGAGCCTGGGACCCTTCAGTCCTCATGCCAACATTCTATCCACTGAGCCAAACCGGCTCAGGCCAAATTTACTTCTTAATCCCTTCACTTTTTCACCCAGTCCCACAAGTCCCCTCCCACCTGGCAACCAACAGTTTGTTCTTTTTATCCATGAGTTCGTTTCTGTTTTGTTTGTTCATTTTGTTTTTTAGATTCCATATATAAGTGAAGTCATATGGTATTTGTCATCCTCTGTCTGTCTGACTTATTTCACTTAGCATAATACTCTCTAGGTCCATCCACATTGTCACAAATGGTAAGCTTTCATTTTTTTCTATGGCTGATATTTCATTATATATATGTACTACATCTTCTTCATCCAATTGTCTATTGATGGGCACTTCGGTTGCTTCCATATCTTGGACATTGGAAGTAATGCTGCAGTGAACATAGGGATGCATATATCTTTTAGAATTATTGTTTTGGATCTCTTCAGATAAATACCCAGAAATGGGACTGCCTTTTATTCCACAGTACACCACTGATTACCCCAACCTCAGTGCACAATAGAAATCTCAGCTTAGGAAGAGGATCTTCCCTTCTTCCCATATTTATATCAAAGAAACCTAAAATATGAGGCAGAGAAGTTAATGACTCAAAAGTAAGTTTTTGGTACAGTAGTACAATACTGAAAGAGAATCTATGAAAGACAAGCAAGATGCAAATTAGGATAAAATATTTAAAACCTGTATTGATTTTCACTGGCCACATGTAAGAAGGAACTATAAAAAGGTCTCAAATTATGTCTATGTTCTATATGGAAAATGTTCATCAACTACACTCCATTTCATTAAAATTAAAGAAAAGTCAAAAATAATTGAGATCACATGTAAACATAATTTTAACAACTTGCTTCTTATTATAAAATTAATGTGTGTTTACTCTTTAAAAAGTTAAAACCAGAAATAAGCAACAACAAAAAATACAATTACAAGCTCCCATTATCTCTTCACCCCGAAATAACCACTATTATTATGTTGGTATAGATCCTCTCTGTCTTTGTTTTCTATGCATAAAAAAATATATTCTTTTTTCTATACTCTACATATCATTTTACAAGTTTGCTTTTTTATAGCAATTTTATGTGAACATCCCTCTATATTATTGAATATCCACAATTTTTAAAGGCTACATAGTATCACCTTACATGAATATGCTAAAATTTAGTTAACCAATTCCATAGTTACATTGTCTCCAATTTTTGATATTTATAAATAATGCTTCAATAACACCCTTGTAAGCATATTCTTGCAATTTTTGAAAACTGGGGGATGGAGGTGCACCAAGGAGGGGATTTCTAAAAAGAGAACCTCTTAGTAAATGGATATACAATTATAAAGTGGTGTGTGCTTTTTATTTTTTATGTACTACCAAATTGCCCTCCAGAAAGTTTGAACCAAGTTACTCTCACTAGCAACACATGAGCATACCACTCCCTCACCAGCACTGGCTATAATCATTCTATTTACCAATCACATTGTGATACATGAAGAATGACATTTCACTGTGATTTAATTTGAATTTCTTTATCTACCACTTAGTGTGAAATTTTTTCCCACATGTTCATTGAGCATTTGTATGTCTTCTTTAATGAATTACTAATTTATATCCAAGAAAGACATTTTTGACAGTAACCTACTGCAGTGAGTCTGAGCTGTAGGAATTCTCTTCTTTGGAGTTATTATAATAATCTAAACTAGTTCTAGGAAGACCCTTTTTAAAAACAAGAGGGATGAACTAGATGAATTCTTAAGAGCCCTACAAGGCCTAAGTTCCAAGTTCAGTGCAATTTCTACATGCCTTAAGTGAACAAAGGTTGTAGAAGGATAGCATGTCATCCTTGCCTCAAGGGGTCTAAGACTTACACATAAAAAGTAAAACATGGTAAGTGAAAATAACACCGTCCCCAATATGAGATTTCATAAGACCAAATGCCAGAAAATAAATGAGTTGAATTTCAGAAATTATCTGAAGTTTATACTAGCTTTCATTGGAAAGAGAAAATTTGTACTGAGATTTGAAACTTAGTAAAATAAATAGGTGTAAAGGGAACACATTTAGACAAGAGAGAAAGTAATGTAAGAGGATTGGTCCAAGAGTGGGAATGTGCATGTTCCAGAGACACTCAGACCACTGAGACGGTGGGAAAGAATTTGTACATATTCATATTATGCTGAGCATTGGGACCAATCAGTATAGGTTTGTGTTCTGGGTCTGCCATTAGTTTGTTGTGTTATACTGAAAAAGCTAAGTCATTTACCCAGGTTGCAGTTTGTTCACCTGGAAAATAGGGGTAATTCTATTTACCCTAAAGGGATGATTTGATGAAAGTGCCAGTTAGCACATAACACAACACCTCTCACACTGCAGGATCCCTACGCACCAGAAGAAGATGCACTTGAAAAATTTAAGTTGAGGTAAGATTTTAGAGAACACTGGATCCAAGGCTAGGAGTTTAGAAAAATAATTTAAGATTTGCTGCAATGAATAGCAGTGATATGACAAAAAAAACAATATTTTATGAAGATAAATTTGACATTTTGGGGAAATCAATTGAAAAGTAGAGAGAAAATGAGTTGAGAAAAATAGCCAAGAGCTGATTTAAATATCCCAGTCCTAAGAGATGGTTATGTCTGGTCTTGATACTAGCATGTGGACTAGAAAGAAAGTTACAAATAAAAAGATACATTTTGAAGGAGGTGATTGGCTAGGAAAGAAAAAGAAAATGGAGAGGAAGAGATAACTGTGGATAACAATGATTAAGAACATCAGAACATTAAGGACTAGGTAGGAAAAGTGAATATTGTTTCCTTTTAAACAAATTGAGTTTGAAGTGACAATAAAATGTTGTATCAGTCAGGTTTCTTCCAGAAAACAAGTTCATTTAAACAGAAAAAATTATTTAAAACAGGGAATTCAATTCTGAAAAATAATTGGGAGCATTAAAGGAGAGGATTTCAGGTTAAGCCTCTAGAAATAACTGCCAGAGGAACACCCCTGAGCCAGTCTGCCCGGGAGATGTTGCCTGTGCCATGGTCAGGATGATGGAGATTCGGGAGACTGCCACAGTAATTCTTGATGTCAAGACCCACCACCATAAC